ATGCCGACAGCGCACGCGCCAGGAGGAGCGGGAGGAAGTTGGGGAGGAGAAGGAGAAGGAGGATGAGGAGGAGGAGGAGGAGGAAGAGAGAAGGAGAAGGAGGAGGAGGAAGGGCAGGAGAAGGAGGAGGAGGAAGAGGATGATGATGAGGAGGAGGAGGAACAGGGTTGGGAAAGGGGAGGGAGAGGGGGAGGAGGAGCAGGAGGAGGAGGAGGAGGAGGAGGAGGATGAGGGGGAGGAGCAGGACGAAGAGGAGGAGGAGGAGGACCACAATAAACCCAATCTGTATTAACTATGCTGCAACACCCGTTCCCGTCCCAAGTACACCCTCCATAAAGTCTTGAATGTTTTTTTCGCCAAACGCAGCGGACCCTTCAACATTCAGTACCCTTTTGGCTTGCCGTTCAGGCGAGAGCCCCTTTTTGTAAGGAGTTGCATTGCATCGTTCCAGCGAGCACGTAATTAGGAATGCGATCAGTTATGATCATCCGGTTCACGAGCTGTTCAGCGAGCCCCTATCGCTGTACTTGTTGCACAATGAGATGTTTCTGGCCATGAGCTTCGAGGGCGTCCCAAGCGAGAGCCCCGTTGTGAAAAGGAGTCATCCTCCATCCTTGTAGCCACTGCAAACTTTACGACGAATGGGAGCGGCACTACGGCGAAATCCAATGTTGTGAAGGACCGCCTCCATTCTTGTAATTATTGCAAGCTTTGTGACATAGTTTCCGCGGCGCCCTAGCGAGAGCTGTGTTTTGAACATGGACCGCCCTCCACCCTTGTAGCTGTTGCAACCTTTAAGACGTGTCAGAGCGGCGGTCAAGCGAGAGCCTCATGGTGCCCCCCATCTTCGTAAATTGTGCAGTTTGTTAGAACGAACGTGCGAAGTGCTCTGGCGAGAGCCAACTTTGGAAAGCAGCCCCGTCCATCTTGGTAGCTCTTGCACGTTTTTAGACAGAATGCTCACGGCGCTAAGGTGAGAGCCCCGTTGTGAAAAGGAACCGTCCTCCATCTTTGGAGTTGTTGCAGCCTTTGAAGACGAGTGTGCGCGGCGCTTAGGCAGGCTCATTGTGACCCCTCCCTTCCCTTCCTTATAGTGCTGCTATGTGTTCGGACGCGCGTGTGCGGTGCTGAGACGAGAAGCAGTTTTGGAAAGGACCCCCTTCCATCCTTATAACTCCTGCAAGCTATTGGACCGAATGAGCCCAACATCCTTGTCGCCTTTGCAAGCTTTTTGTAGACGAATGTGCGCGGCCCTCGAGCGAGAGCCCCACTGTGAAAACTGCCCCCTCTCCATCCTGGTAAGTGTTGCAATGTGTTAAGACGAATGTTCGCGGCGCTGGGGCGTGAGCCTAGTTTTTAAGAACGACCTGAGCTGTATCCTTCTACTTGATGCAAGCTGTCAGAGCGGATTGGCGCGGCGCTGAGGCGATATCCTAGTTTGACTATCCAAGCGAAGCACCATAAGAGCAGCAAAGGTGAGGAGGCGGGTCGAGAAGTAGTCGGCCACTGAAACCGCGCATTCCTATGTACCCCTAGGGATTCTAGGACCTTCGACTTCTCGGGACAGAGGTGAGAGCACAGCCATGTGCACTTTAGTTTTCCTATAAGGGATCGTGGCCGTCCGGGCCGAACATGTAGCTGGCTGGCATTGGGGCGAATGCACGGTTCCTGAATAAATGGTGAGAGCGTCTCCGGCGAAACGTGTGCCAGACCGTGCGATCTAGGCAGGGGTTCCCAGGCTCCCCGTCCCCCTTGTGGGGTCTCTTTCGTGGTTTCTTCTACCGTTATGAGGGCCCTCGAACGAAACGCTATGAGGGAAAAGCAACTTCTGCTCCATCCTTGCAGTTGTTGCAGAATTCGAGCTTCATAACCGTAAGTGGTGAGGACGTCTCGGGCGAAACGCCCTGCCCGGGGTGCGACAGGGAGGAGTTGTCTGTAAGGAAGCAAGCTGGAGGAGGAGGAGGAGGAGGAGGAGGAGGAGGAGGAGGAGGGAGGAGGAGGAGAAGGACCAGTGTAAACCCAAGAGTCATCAACGATGTTGGAATACAGCCTCCCTCCAAGCTCCCTCTTCATCGGCCCCTACAGTGGTTTATTTCCATTGAAGGAAATGCATCGTTGGAAGGCAACCGTTCGAAGACCCTGACGAATGCCCAAACATTATCGTCGGGACTCCAACGCTACGGATCAGCCTGACTGTTGCGTCTTGACGATCTTGAACCGCACCAGAATGCCATTCCTGGGAATTCAGCGCCACGAATCAACGTAACTGTGGCGCCCTCACAATCCTGAATCTTTCCAGAACGCCGTTTCGGAATCCGTGAACTCTTGCAATTTTTTGCGACGAATGTGCGCGGCGCTCAGGCGAGAGCCACATGTTGAAAAGGAGTCGCGTTCAATCCGTGAAACTCTTGCGGAAGACGAATGTGCACGACGCTAAGGCGAGAGCCACATTTTCAAGATGACCCGCCCTCAATCCGTGAAGGTCTTGCAAATGTTGAAAAAGAATGTGCGCGGCGCTAAGGCGAGAGTCACATTTTGAACACGACCCGCCCTCAATCCGTGAAGCTCTTGCGAATGTTGAAAACGAACGTGCGCGGCGCTGAGGCGAGAGCCACATTTTGAAAACCACCCGCCCTCTGTTCGTTAAGCTGTTGCCGATTTTGAAAACGAATATGCGCGGCGCCGAGGCGAGAACCACATTTTGAAAACGACCCGCCCCAATCCGTGAAACCCTTGCATTTTTTGCAACGAACTTGCGCGGCGCTAAGGCGAGAGCCACATTTGGAAAACGACCCGCCCTCAATCCGTGAAACTGTTGCCACTTTTTTTATGCTTCAGGGTCATAAGCGGTGAGGAAGTCTCAGGCGAAAAACCCGGCCCGCCCTAAAAACACGCCTCGGGGTGCGACAGGGAGAAGTTATTTTATAACGAAAAGGAATAGAGGAGGAGGAGGAGGAGGAAGTGGAGGAGGAGGAGGAGGAGGAGGACGAGGATGAGGACGAAGAGGAGGAGGAGGAGGAGGAGGAGGAGGAGGAGGAGGAGGAGGAGGAGGCGGGGGAGGGACTGGCGGCGCCTGGCGGCGCGGTCGGGTACGGGGAGGACCGCATGCTCAGAAGTCCCCTGTGGAAGAGGATGGGCCCCATCGATCTTCGAGGGCATTTTAAACTTCCCATTGATCAAGGGGCGGTTGACACGTGAAATCGCTGCGCGACCAACCCCCCCCGGCACCGACCCCCGAATCCGACCCCCCCCGCCACCCCCACGGATACGCCACGGCCATTCCCCCGGGTACCCCAAGGTGGTGGGGCGGTCATTCAAATAATAGTTTCTGCTCTCTTTCTGGACGCTTCTGGGGACCTCTGGGGAATTCTGCGGATACCTCCAGGAACCTCGGTGCTCGAGGGACCCCGGGGAGTCCTCGGGCGGATGACTCTTCGCCACGAAGGAGGTGGGCCCCCGCAGGGAAATGGGACCACATGTCTTTTTCGCCGTGCCCCGCCTCCCGGGGCCTTCCCTGGTATCCTGGACCGCCCACAAGCGACTCAGGATGAACATTGGGGGCGGCCAAGAGGGGGGTGATGACGAAGGGGGGGTGTGGATAGCGCCTCTTCTTATCTGGATCTGTTCCCTGGCCCGCCCTGGGCTGCGCACGTGCCTCGGGCCATGCCTTCTGGGACGCCCCCGAGAACAGGCGGTCCCTGGGAAAGCCCTGGGGTCCAAGACCCTCGCCGAGCGCGTTCCATAACTCGCAAAATGCCTTCTCGCAAACGTCCGAAATACACATGTCGTCTTCGATGTAGTTTATCGTAGATCCCTCGCGGCGGATCCAGGCCATTTGCGAGTAGTTGCTTTGCGAGTAGTGGGACGCGCTCGTCTAGACCCGTTTCCTTCAGGCCTTCCTTGCTGGCATGCCAGCGACGGGGTCGTGGTCAATGACGTCGTCCTTTGAGAGTTCTCTCTGCGTCTTTGCAGGTTCTCGTCGCCAAGGCTGGACGTGGCTCATGAAGCTGGCCAGTATTGACCCCAGCAGGGGTCTAGGGACCAGTTTGAGGCGACGAGCGAACAACGAATGCGACGCGACAAGCGTCTGGGCCTGGCGCCACCATGCGTCGCGATTAGGCAAGAGGAAGATCCTCGTCCTCCAGCTCCTCCTTCTCGGCGCCTCCCTCCGTAGAGGAACAGAAGCCCGTCACGGACGCACTTACATTTGGGATGGTCCTAGTCGTTCCAGTAAGCAGAAGACTCACCGTATGCGTCGCTCTGTAACAGGTGCTGTGAGTTTCCGGCTCGCGAGGCCCTGCCCTCCCGATGGCCCGCAGACCGTCCTGCAAGGCCCCTGTGGGCCACCAAGCTCTGCCCCGGGTCCCCCCCCTGGAGTCCACCCCAGACCCCAGAGGGCCCACCCAGCCGCGAGCGAGGAGGAGGGGGCAGGAGCGTGATGCGCAGTAATGTAGACGCTGGTTGCGATGATCACGGTCCTGGCGCGAGAGCGTGCTTTGTTGCATGCAAGTGGAAACCTGGCTGGGCGCGTGCGAAATGAAGAAAGGAGGGACGATGAACAGGACTTGACGAGCGCCACGCAGGCGTCCTGAGCCTTACCACGCGTGCCCTATACATAACACATGTTTGCGTGAACAAAGACCTTTCCTTTACACCGAGATCGTTCTAACGATCCGCGAGCGTCGGGCGTACTTTTCAATTTTGACTTCCACGCCTGCACGGGCTTCTGCGTCTAGTCGGCATGTGCGATCTTGGAGGAGCCGCTCACTCTTAAAGTAGGCGCATCAAACAAGAATTCGGCCTGCCAGCAGGTGCATCACAGAAATGTCTTATCCCCCCACTGGCCCCAGGGACCCACAGAAGCTCTGGGGCACCGTCTGACCCTGACAGATCGGCGAAGAACGTGCCCACAGATTTCTCCCAGCAAGGCTTCTTATCGTATGTGTCTGCTGCATCAGCATCTGCGGGGGTGACGGGAAGGTCATTCTTGATGCCATGGCATGCCGCTGCGTAATCCCCGCCAGGAGGGCAGGAGCGAGGATGACTTCCACGCTGGCGTGCGGCAGGCGCTGCAGGCTTTCAAAGACGGCGAACTGCGCAAGGTGGTGTTGGCCCGCAGGGTGAAGGTGGAGCTGGCGTGTCCAGCGGACCCAGTGTCGCTGCTGCGGCAGGTCGTCGGCGCTGCCCATAAACGGCAGTACGTCTTCGTGCTCGAGCCCGAGCAGGGCACGGCGTTCATCTCCCTCTCCCCAGAGCGGCTGTGCAGGGTGAAGGGCAACAACGTGTGGACGGAGGCCGTTTTCTTGTCGACTGCTCCCACATGTTTTTCCCAGCGAGGGCCCCATCCCGGGGTTCTCTTTTAGCAGGCGGGCCTTTGGCCCTACATCGGAGGCTGTCCAGCATGTGGTCGGCGGTTTCTTGACACGTAGAAGTACATGCGCGGAAGGAGGTATTCAATATGCGCTGGCGCGCGCGCGTGCGCGCGTCTGGGACGTGTTCTCACGTGTGCCGGTGCCAGAGGGGGGTATCTACCATGTGGTCGGCGAATTCTTGACACGTGCAATTACTTGCGCGGAGGGGGTGTACATCATGCGTCTGGCGCACGGCGCGCGCGCGCGTTTGGGCCGTATTCTCACATGTCCTGGCGACAAGCTCTGGGTCAGTACTATACGATGTATTCGGGATGGGCATCGTGGCGAAGTTTCGTACGACACCCGCGTCACGCCCTAGAAAGTTCAGCATAGCATTGAGTAGTATACCATAGCGTGCTCAAACAGTGTGCTGCAGACGTGTCGCAAGAACGTCTTACGTGTTCAAGTTTTTTTGCCAGAATTCGTGAATCCCTGGAGCTGTTTTTGATCCTCGTCTGGTTGAAACAAGTGCTTACAAATATCCACAAAGGCCGTGGCTGGCACCTGGCCGATCGCAGAGTACGAGAGGGCGGGGGAGGCTGCGCTGCTGGCCAGCTCAGCCAAGCACAGCAGCGAGCACCAGCTGGTAGTCGATTACATACGCAATGGACTGGCGGGCGTTACCGATTCCGATTGTTTCAAAGCGTGTGACACGCACATCTTGAAGCTGCCCCACCTAGTGCACATCAAGCAATCGTATCACGCGATTGCCAATTCGGAGGGTAGCCCAAGCTCCGCGTCGCCCCTCAGGCTTGTTAATTTTTTCTGCCAGAGCATTTCCCCGACGCCAGCGGTGTGCGGGCTGCCGCTGGAAGCGTCTAGGCGGTTCCTCGAGAGAACAGAGAAATTCGACCGCGGCTTGTACGCTGCGCCATGCGGTGTCATCAGTTCAAAAGAGTCAGAGTTGATAGTCGCATTGCGCTCGTCGCTTGTTCACCAGGGCCAGCATCTCTACGTTTATGCTGGGGCTGGCATTGTGCCAGGCTCACATCCAGCCGAGGAGTTCGCAGAGATCACCCTGAAGATGAAGCAATTCACGATGGCTTTCCCGCCGAAGGAGCCAGGAATGCACGTTGGCACTGCCGCCCAAAGAGTCGCCAAGTTGGCGGACCTACCAAACCTCAACACGCTCTGGGCTTCCATCGTCGTCGAGGAGCTCATGCGCTCTGGAGCAGCTGGCTTCGTCATCTGCGCGGGATCCCGCTCGACGCCGCTAGTGGTCGCTGTGGCCCGGCACCACTCTGCCAGGCATGTCGTCAACCATGACGAGCGAAGCGGCGCTTTCTACGCTTTGGGTTGGGCGAAGGCTACAGGGAAGCCCGTGTGTGTGATTGTCACGTCTGGGACAGCAGTTGCGAACCTGCTGCCCGCGGTGGTGGAGGCGGACTTGTCAGGCGTGCTGCTGCTGGTGATGATGGTGATGATAATGATGAGGAGGATGAGGAAGAGGAGGAGGAGGAGGAGGAGGAGGAGGAGGAGGAGGAGGAGGAGGAGGAGGAGGAGGAGGAGGAGGAGGAAGAGTAGAGGGAGGTGGAGGAGGAGGATGAGGAAGGAGGAGGGATGAGGAGTATGGCAGGGGAAAAGACGGTGGGGGAGGCTTGTCAGGCGTGCCGCTGGTGCTGTTGACGGCAGACCGTCCGGCCGAGCTCCGGGACACTGGCGCGAATCAGACCATTGTGCAGCCAGGCATCTTCGGACCCAGTGCGAGGTGGACCAAGGACCTGCGCTTCTCGCTTCAGTGGCCCAAGGCAGCTTGCAATCAAGATCAGTTGGGCTGCATGCTCCTGAGATGGCCTTGCCCTGTCGCCTTGTTTTGTCTTGTACCCCGCACTCCCTATCATCCTTGGATCGCTTGCGTGCGTGTGTGTTACGCGGAGAACTTCAGTCCTCCCCACTTGTACACGGTTTGTACTTGCTCCGTGCTGTTCAGCCATGCGCGCTGTCGTGAAGCCGCGTATGAAGGAACTTGTAACCTTGCGTGCACATGGCGCTGCCCACAGTGCACGCACACTGCACAACGCACGCGGATATGGCACCAGCACGCGTTACCGCGCTCAGGGCGTCAACCACGACAAAAGTTCGCACAGGGCACCACGGACACAGCGCTATACACAACATCATGTACGTACGGGTAGCACCATGCGCACGATACCTCGAACGCTGCACTGAACACGTGGTACTTCGCGCAGGGCACCATGTACACAGCACCACAGAGGCCACCTCGCGCATAGCTTCCTTCATGCACGCGGCCGCCAGCGCGCGGCGCCACTCACACGGCTCCCCGCATGTGGCACCGCGCAAACAGCATTGTGCGACCAGCAGCGTGCATACACAGCAGCATGTTTCCGCGATCGCACTGCTTTTCACCTTCAGCGATCTACAGATACGGCTCGCCACTTGTATGATTTCGTCGAGTCATTGCTTGTGCGGGAAGCGCGAGCCGAGGACTTTCCACCTCCTTCGGTTGAGTATCCCGCCCACGCGCTGCTCAGCGACGTAGACCTTGCCGTCGCGCATGCGACGGGCTCCCTGTCCCAGCACGCGGGCCCCGTCCACCTCAACTTCTGCTTCCGAGAGAACCTTGCGCCCGACCCGGGGCCCGTGCGCGGTGCGCCAGGGAGGACCTCCGAGTTCAGCAGGTCGTACGTGGGGGCCCTATCGTCTGCCGAGCGCGCGGTCGGCGGTCGCGAGATTAGCCTGGCTGGGCCCGTGTGCGGTGCGCCAGACTCGCCGAGTTCGGACCGTCGTGCGCGAAGGCCCTGGCGCCTGGCGAATGCGCGGCGGTCGCCTATCGCGAGGCCGGCCCGGTCTGGCTCGGCCCGATCGCGCGCCCAGCAGGCGTGCGGTCGGACATGGTAGCAGCCGTTACAATCGGAATTGTGGCAAGGCTCTACTGTCGGGGCTAGCGAATCAGTTCTGGGGTTCTATAGATCAGGCCAGGGATCAGCAAATGAACGTGGATGCCTTGCGGTCGCTTTCGAGGCCTGCTGCCTACGCTAACTTTGTGCCTTTCGGGCCCCGCTTTTCTGTAGTAGGTAAGCCTCCCGGTAGCTAAGCCAGATGGGAGCTAGCGCTGGCGGACGACGGAGAAGAAGAAGAAGAAGAAGAAGAAGAAGAAGAAGAAGAATAAGAGGAATAATAATAATAATAATAAGAAGAAGAACAAGAATAATAAGAAGAACAAGGAGGAGGAGGAGGAGGAGGAGGAGGAGGAGGAGGAGGAGGAGGAGGAGGGCGACGACTGCGGGGATGCCGCTCGAGCTACTGCGTACCCTTGGGCCGAGCGCGCTCGGTCCCGAGCGAGGGTAAAGGTGCGGAGTTTCGTTGTCTTCTTGGCTGGATCGTTCCATAGGAGGGTTTCCTCGTCGAGGTAGCGAGGGGTTGACCTCCCCTCTCCGCGGACGCCTGTGGAGGGTCAGGGAGACCGAAGGAGGTAAAACACGTGACAGCCTTCCCGAGTGATTTTTCAGCAGAAGCCCACGGATGTAGAAGCTGGACCCCAGGAGATTCGCACTGCGGCTGATGCCGAGTCGCATCGGGACCTGTGGTTGGGCGAACTCCTCCTCCTCAATACAGAGCATGGCCCCCGAATAACCCTAAGTATTGTTGGAGGCCGTTTATTGTGGTCGTCGTCAGGGCCAAGACAAAGGACGACGAGGTTAACGAGGATCACATTGATGATGATGATGACGATGTTGTTGTCGATGATTACGTTGATGATGAGTCTCATGAGTCTGACGATGGCAGTGATGCTGAGGATGGTTATGAGGATACTTGATTTGATGATTAGAGGCTGGTGAGGATGTCGATGACGATGACGATGACGATGATGATGATGATGATGATGATGATGATGATGATGATGATGATGATGATGATGATGATGATGATGATGATGATGATGATGATGATGATGATGATGATGATGATGATGATGATGATGATGATGATGATGATGATGATGATGATGATGATGATGATGATGATGATGATGATGATGATGATGATGATGATGATGATGATGGATGATGATGATGATGATGATGAGGAGAGAGGAGGAGAGGAGGAGGAGGAGGAGGGGAGGGGGGATGAGGAGGAGGAGGAGGAGGAAGAGGAGGAGGAGGAGGAGGAGGAGGAGGAGGAGGAGGAGGAGGAGGAGGAGCAGGAAGAGGAGGAGGAGAAGGATGCTGCTGCTGCTGAGGAGGAGGAGGAGGAGGAGGAGGCTCTGCACATCAGTGGGGCTCTGCGCAGAGCCACGCCGAGGCGCAGATCCTTGTCAAGGCGCACGCCTGACACTGGCAGCCGAACGGCCTCGGCGCAGATCTGCGTCGGGCCGTTGTGGGGAGGACGCGCTGCAAGCGAGCGGGCACGCTTGGAGCGAGCTTCTTGGCGAGCTTCCTAGCAATCACGCCAGCAACGCGCTGTGTGCCAAAAGGGAGCGGGCACGCTCGGAGTGAGCTTCTGGGCCTGCTTCCTGGGAGTAGCGTTGGCGATGCGATGGCTGCCAGGAGCGAGCTGGCCCGGTTAAAAGTGAGCCTCCTGGCAAGCTTCTTGGCAACAGCGCTAGCGATGCGATTTGCGCCGCAAGCGAGCCGGCATGCTCGAAGTTAGCTTCGTGGCAACAACGCTGGCTGCGCGATGGCTGCTGGGCGCGAGCCGGCACGCTTGGAGTGAGCTTCCTGGCAGCCGCGCTGGTGATGCAAAATGCGCCGCACGCGAACGGGCAGGCTCGGGACGCACACAGAAGGCTCACAGGAGGGACATCACCCCAGAGCACCAGAACGTATTGTGGGAGGACCCAACTACCCTCGGGGCAAGACTTTGGGCAAGCCTAGCGAGGGAGCATCGCCGGCGATACGATGTGCGCCGCAAGCGAACAGGCAATCTCGGAGCGAGGTTCTTAGCGAGCTTCCAACACTGGCGGCGAGATGTACGCTTGAAGCGAATTTCCTGGCCTGCTTCCTGGCAGCAGCGTTGGCGATGCGATGGCTTCCAGGAGCGAGGCGGGCGCGCTTCAAACTTCTCCTCCTGGCAGTCTTCTTGGCAACAGCGCTAGCGGCGCGATGTGCGCCGCAAGCGAACCGGCATGGTCGGAGTGAGCTTCCTGGCAATTATCCGGGTCACTCGATGGCTGCTGGGCGCGAGCGGGCACGCTTGGAGTGAGCCTGCTGGCGGCCGCGCAGGCAGCACAACGTGCGCGAGAAGCGAGCGGGCACGCTCGGGAGGTCCAGAGAAGGCTCACGGGAGGGGCACGGGAGGGACATTGCCCCAGGGCGCACGTGCTGTGGGGGGTACTACTAATGCATACGCTAAGAACCGTCCACGCAAGCTTAGATATGGAACAGCGCAGATATAATCATCGTATGGCCGTGAGAGTCGGGCCAAGCTGGACACCTCATGCCGAAGCCAAAGGGAATGTACAATCAAGAGCCAGAGGGGCAGTGAGACTGAACTTCCTCCTCACCGCGCATTTTCGCCCTCTCGCTCTCCCCCTCCCCTCCCTCCCCCTGGCCCAAGGTGCCCCCAGCTGTTCGTTCGTGATTCAGGGGTGCTCTGGAGGCCGTGGGCGCCTCCTTGGAAATCCTGGGGGCATCCTGGGCCAGGGGCACTCCTGGCAACACCCGACCCCCTGCGCGCACGTGTGACTCCTTGGCCCGGTGGAGTCGACAGGGCTGCCGCAGGCGGCAGGGCGCCCCCCCCCAGATGCGTTGTGCGCTGACCTCCAGGGCGCCGCAGGCCGAGCGAGCGCCGCGTTGGAGAGAAGCGATCCGCACAGACTCGGCCACCCCGACTGGTGGACCGTTCTGGCTGGGGTCTGGTTCGGCCACGCGCAGAGGGGGGGTACAGGGGGGGAGTGGGGAAGGCTTCTGGGAAGCACCCCTGCTTTTGGGAAGGCACGGGCCTTGTCTGCAGATGTAGGGCCCGCGCCTTCTACGAATCAGCCTCCTGCTCAGAAGCGTTGCCCCCTACCCCCTTAACCCCCTGGTGCGCGCCGCCAGCAGAGTCGGCGTTCTGGCTGGGGCCTGGTTCTGATGGCCAGGAGCTGCACGTGCACCAACACAAGTCCGACGCCGAGCGCCATGACAGATGGGGCGGTCCCCGAAAGGGCCCCGCCCTAGAGGGTCGAATCGTCGAAGGAGTTGGCTTCCCTTCCTCGGCGTAGGGTGGCGGCAGGGCGGCGGAAGGCAGCGGAAGTTCAACAGCGGCGGGTCCACGGGCCGAGGCCGGCGGAAGGCTGGCAGAAGGCCAGCGGAAGGCCGGCAGAAGGCCGGCAGAAGGCCGGCGGAAGGCCGGCGGAAGGCCAGCGGAGGGCGAAAGACGCGTTTGCCCTCAAGAGATTGCAAGAAGGGTTTTGGGTTCAAGGTTTCCGCAGTCGGCCAGATCGAGGCCCCCCCTCCTCTTCTCTCCTCGCTTGGGCGCCGAGCTCGCGCACAGGTGTTGCAGAGGAGGGCTGCACCCTGCAGGTCTCCGCGGGGGATCTCCCGGAGTCCCTGCAGCTGGGCCCAGGGAGGCCTCTCCGGCCCCCAGCACGAGGGTCAGAGGCACTCAAGGGCCTCCATCCTCGATCCTCGATCCTGACGCGCGAGGTCAAGGGTGTGGGGGGGGAAGTGGGAGGGTGTGTGGGGAAGGTGACGGGGGAGGGACGGAATGACGGAGTGGGGAGGGAGGAGGGAGGAGGGAGGAGGGAGGAGGAGGAAGGACGATGAGG